CAAGAAACATGAGAATTAAACATAAAACTTCTATTTAAACCAAAGTAATTTACATTGTAATTTTACAAGCAAAATTTCAGGAAAATACAGACTCTTAACAAAACATTCAAAACTATCCGCAACTCATTCTTCTTGTTTCCTTGTCACAACTAAACTTCAGATTCAAAACCTGCAATAAATTCATTAAGGGGTGAGCAAACTGGAATGCTGGATTGCAAACCAACTGACACACCTATTGAGCAGAACCACAAGTTAGGGATGTATCTAGATCAAGTACCCACTGATAAAGAAAGGTATCAAAGATTAGTTGGGCGACTGATCTACCTATCACACACACGCCCCGACATAGCTTATGCAGTGAGTACAGTAAGTCAGTTTATGCATCAACCAAGTGAGGCACACATGAATGGAGTAATATGAATTATGAGGTACTTGAAGACTACCCCTGCAAAAGGATTGATGTTCTCCAAACATACTCACATGGATCTGGAAGGATACACAGATGCTGATTGGGCAGGATCCATCATAGATAGACGTTCTACTTCTGGATATTTTACATTTGTGGGTGGCAACTTAGTCACTTGGAGGAGTAAGAAGCAAAGAGTTGTGGCTAGATCAAGTGCTGAAGCAGAGTTTAGGGGAATGGCTCAAGGAGTGGGTGAATTGCTCTGGTTACGGAGATTACTGAAGGATCTTGGAGTTAAACCATTGAAAGCTACAAACTTGCATTGTGACAATAAAGCTGCTATCAAGATAGCACATAACCCAGTACAACACGACCGTACCAAACATGTGGAAGTCGGCCGACACTTCATCAAAGAGAAACTAGAAAGTGGTATAATTAGGTTTCCATTTGTAAACTCCGAAAACCAACTTGCTGACATTCTGACGAAGGCCGTATAAAGTAAAGTCTTTTATGACTCACTTGACAAGTTGGGCATGCGTGATATCTTTGCACCAACTTGAGGGGGAGTGTTGACAATGACTTGAGACAAGCTGGAAACATGGAAAAGCTTGTCTACCACTTCCATGTTTTAGGGGAACACAAAGTGCTGGAAACATGGAAACATAATTCATGCTTTGGAGATTGTAATTTATTGTGAATTGGGGATTGTAACCAACGGATAGCTATCTATAGCTATCTGTCTATACTTGTAGATATATATTCCAAATGAGTAATGAGAAAAACCAGATTTGAATTCTCTGCAAAACCTCTCATATTACACATTCTCAACTCTCTCAATTACACTATCTTTGGCAAGATGTGCATGTTCTCGAGTATATATCATCCTATTATCTAGCATATGCATCTAGAATTCACACATTTCTCTGCATTTCGCTTCATATGGACCCTTGCAATAATCTAACAACTTAAATATAACATATCAAAATTAAAATAAATTTTAGTTTTATTTTTTTCTGAAACTAACGTTAGCCCTGTTATCTGTCTCTGTCTCTCTCTCCCCTTTCTCTCATCCCTCTTGTCGGCTCTACCAATTCCCACTTCCCAGGAATTTCTACTACTCTCCCAATTAGCCATGTTAGCCCTGTTAACAAATCATTTCTACTGCTTGGTTTGTGTCTATGGTCTGTTTCCTCATCTGGGAAATCTAGAAATCGCGCTGCAAGTTTATCTTTGAAGGTAGGAATCTAAATCCCATTTAGGGTCCTAAATGTGGCAACTGAGGTAGCTCTAGAATTCCGAGCCATCTCTCCTGTTCCTACGGCCCGCGAAACCAAGACCTCCACAGGGAAAATGTTGGTTGGACACCTCCCATCTCTGGGTTTATTAAGATTAATTTCGATGGGGCTTGGCAGGCTTCAAACTGCATGGCTGGGTTACGTGTTATAAGAAGAGATGATATGAGAAACTTGTGTTGTGGTGGGCTAGCCGAAAAGAAAATCTGCCCTTGAGCTTTATGTGCTGAAGCTAAAGCTGCTAAATTCAAGGATGGTTTTTTTTTTTGTGGAGATTCACTATTATACTCAATATAGCAGCTCAAATTATAAAAAAAAACCATATATGAAATGGACTTTAGAAACACACCCAAAACCCATTTACAACATAACAAAAAGGCATTTAACTTCTTTTAAATTACAAAACTGCCATTGATTTCATAAAACAAATCCAACTCCAAAACCTCATAAAAAAAACCCAAAACACTCAATAGGGCATCAAAGTAATTTAATAATCAAAATTAAATTCAATATGGCCAACTATCATATTTTGGGTTTTTTTTTTTGGATTTGTTTATGGAAATTAAATTATGTAGGGTTTATTTATATTATTAATGCTAAGAATGGGTATATGACTAAATATCTTTTTTTTTCACTTGGAATTTGATTGGACCATTTCATAATTGAATATGCTAATGAAAACAAGAACCCAGTGAGTGAGCCAAGAACTTGGAGAAATGCCACGGAGAGCGAGCCGGACTCCCAAGTTAGGTCACGTTTACAAGAAATAAGAAATTTTCCTTATTGAGGGCGTCTTTTTCTGATATATCATGAAGTTTCACTGTTTCACGTAATTGATTAATGTTAGTTTCATTGTTTCACCTAATGGCTCGGTGGGAATGCAATTTCAAACTTATTTCCTCATACGAAAAAAAAAAGAGATTAATTTTAATTTAGTGTCACGAACTCTTACCTTTAAGGCACGTTTGCATCAACACTCTCAATTTTAATAATTACATACCTTAAGCTTTTCAATTTTGTGTAATATGGTTCCGGCGTTAACTTCATCATCAAAATTTATGTTAATTGCTTGCGTGACAAGCTTGGGTCTCACCTATTCACTTCTTTCAATGTCAGTTGAAGGGTATTTTGTTTTAAAAAAAATGGTTTGGTATTAATGCTTGTAATGTGTTCTTCATGGGCGGGAAGACACCAATTACCCAAAAATACTCTTCAACTGACAACGAAATAAGTGAATAGGTGAGACTCATGTCGACCACACAAGCAATTAATGGAAATTTTGATGTCAAAGTTAACGCTAGAACCAAATTGCAAAAAATTGAAAAGCTTAAGGTATGTAATCGTTAAATTGAGAGTGGAGGGGAAAATGTGCCATAATGGTAAGAGTTCAAGGTACTAAATCAGAATTAACCCCAAAATAAAAAACTTATTTCCAAACTCCTAAACCTTTGAACTAAACGGGCCCTAAGTGATTAATGTTATTGACACTTATTGAGGGCGTCTTTATATGATATTTGTGGCGAAGTTTCACTGTTAGAGCACTTCCACCCGTGTGTCATGGCAAAAATCAAGGGGAGGCAAGGGGCAGTTACTGATCATGTGAATAGTGTCTGCCCTAGCAATTTTTTTGATGCATTCCCACCTATTGCCATGGCAACCCAAGGGCAACCACTATTCACATGAGATATGAGGAGAGGAATTTGTATGGAGTTTTGGTGCGGGAAGTGAAGAACATGGCTAGGTATTTATAGAAAAAAAAATCTAAATTTTTTGGTTTCTTTTTTCCTCTTTTTTTTTTCAATTCTTTTAGTATTTAAATTGGCTGCTGACGCCACACTAACGTTAGCTTGCCTTTAGCTCACCCTGACTCGATGGAGCCCACCTCTTGCCAAGATAGGATTTCAGTGATGGAATAGGTTTTGGGAGCTAGGAGCCCTTTGGACTAAGCTTACCGCTGAAAGTGCTCTTACATTTAATTTATTAATGTTATAGTTTGACCTAATAGATTAATGTTACCGACACTTTTTTTTAATAAGGAAATAAAAGAGTTACAACAACAAAAAACCTCCTGGACAAGAGATCCCAAGAAAGTCAAAATAAAAAGCAGTTGGAACAAATAAAGGAAGAGCATGCTCTCAAAGATGGGAAGGGGAAAGGTTGTGGCCAAACTTGGCTAAAAAGTTATGGACACGTGTTTCAATTATAATCTTTGAATGAGCGCCAAAATTATAATCTTTGAATATCAGAATTGACTAGAATCCAAATTCCTCTTCCAACTTGCACTCAAACGTGTTTAAATTGATTTTGGATGATTTGAAATAATTACATTGCACTTGAAGAAAATTCAACCTTGAAGAATACATTGTGCTTTGTGAGAAATTCGAAACCTTAAAAGAATGCAACAATTTTATTTTTATTTTTTAAAAGTCTTTAAAATCAGGAAAAAAAAAACAAACAAAACAAAGAAACCAACATGGCAATGGCTGCTTCAGTTGAGGGAGAAATATCAACAAAAGAAATCATTTTTCATACCTAACATTGCCTGCTTCAGTTGAGGGAGAACTATCAACAACAAAAAATCAATTTTCATACGTAACAAAAAAAAAGGAGAAAGCACGTGTGTTTTTGGTTAGAAGAGAAGACGTTGGAATGGGTGGTAGGGTATTGTGGAGATTTTCTGCCAACTAACGTCGACGGCTGACACTGACATCCCCATGCCAAGGAAGTGTTTCTCCTTTTTGTGATATTAGTTTCACTGTTCCATCTAATTAATTGAAGTTAATTTCACTGTTTCACTTATTTGTTTTTTAACCTCCTCTCTCTTCGTCTTTCTCTCTGCTTGAGACCAGCACTGTTTCACCTTTTAGTCTCGAACCAGAGACCTGACGGGTTTTGGCTTGGACCACAAATCCAACAGGCTACTTGAGACCAGCACTGTTTCACTTAATTGGTTAATGTTATCAACACTTTTTTTTATAAAATGAGGAAATAAAAATGTTACAACAGTGAAAAACCTCTTGGACAAGAGTCCCAAGAAAGTCAAAATAAAAGGCAGTTACAACAGATAAAGCAAGTAGGCGTGGGCACGGTCCGGTTTGGTCCGGTTTGACCCTCAAACCACGGCCGAACCAATTAAATTTTCACGGTCCGGTGTGGTTCGGTTTCACTTAAAATCAAAATGAAAACCAAACCAAACCAAACCATTCATAACCGGTTTGGTGCGGTTTGGTTCGGCCGGTTTAGGCATAAAACAACATGTCTTCCAGTAACATGCAAATGCTGCCAAAGTAACAAAGTTAACATGAAAGTTAACCAAATTTCCAGTAAAACAAAGTTCAACATACAATCCCACATTTGCATACAAATAGAAATAAGCTTCAATGGCTGCCAATTGATTAATACAAATCAAACCAAAAATAAGCATCAATGGCTGCCGTATCGTTTTTTCTGTAAGAACTTTATCAGAGCCATGCGAGTGTTATGGCTCATTTTCTTAGACTCTAATGCTGCACCCTCTTCAGATTCCTGTAGATGCACTCTCTTCAGATTGCAGCAACAACCACCACCTTCGAGTCTGACTCAAATTCATCCATTTTTGTGAGCAACTACAAAGACAGGAACAGTTTTTTTTTTATGAGAAAAATACCTTAATTGACACTAATAGAAAGTAAAAACGTACATACAAAGTACAAGGTGTTCACTGAAATCCAAATGTAAGATCGAAAAAAAAGAATACCAAAAAGCACAATAATATGGTTATTACTGCCTTATACTGTTCTGCATAATAGCAAGGATAGAAACAGGTAATATCAAAGCACTTAAAGCTGTAAGCCATATCACTTGTGCCCAATTTCAGAATTGAATTATGAAAAGTATACAATGGAGTAAATACTAAATCACATTAAAACAAAACCAGAAAGAAAAGAACAATCCTTAACAATAAGATATTTTGGGGAGGAGAATTCATACGGTGTATGAGAATCTTGAACAAGGATGCCATCAATCTACCATGACTTTCACGTTGAATTAAGTATAAAATACCTACACCAGATACATCATAAAATTATTGCAACATCAAGATAACCAAAACAAACTCGAACAATTAAAAGTAATATTATTGCACCAAAAATAAATTTGTGCAGCATTACTGCTTTCACAAACCTGTATGAAGCTGCATGAGTATATGTCCAAGGGAACTTGAAAGAGCTGTGAAAGATCCACGTTTAGAAGATTCCTTGAATTCTGCTACCTGTAGAAAAATTGAAGCAACACCCACATATCCCTCTCCCAATCTAATTGAAGACCCATTAATTTATAGAGAGAGAGAGAGAAAAGACGAAATGAAGACCCACACATCATCATCACCATCGCAGAACCTACTAGAAAAAAGACGAAATGAAGAAGACCCATATTTATAAAACCATCAAGTATACAGAGAGAGAGAGAGAGAGAGAGAGAGGTTACACTGGGGAGACGACGAAGAGGCCAAAGGTGATGACATTGTCTGCCAAAGGTGATGAAGATGGAGATGAATGATGCGATGAGATGAGAGTAGTGAGTGTTGTGTTGTGTGCGGCTAGGGTTAGGAAACGAAGGAAAGGCTGAGAGAAATGTGAGGGAGAGATAGAGAGAAACAGATCCGTGAGTTTTAGTTTTGGCTTTTGGAGTCCAATCATGTGCGGTATGGTGCATGATAACAATTACAAATAACCACTCAAGTCTTGCCACATGTAAAATATATTTAACAAATAATAAATTTATTTTTAATCAGTCCGGTTCGGTTTAGGACAGTTTACAAAATGCTCAAACCGCAGCCGAACCAAACCAAACCGGTTCGGATCGGTTTTTGAAACTGTTGACTTTTTCTTTGGTCAAACCCAAACCAAACCAAACCAATATAATCGGTTCGGCCGGTGTAACCGGATCGGCCGGATTGATGCCCACCCCTAAAAGCAAGGCGATGATATTGCATTAATCGAATTGAATAGTCTATTAGAGCAAAAATTATTCAAGTAGCAAATAAATATTTTCAAATTGCCACATAGGTCAACAAACTTTAATTTGAAGAGTTTAATTTACTACTACTATTAGACCCCTAAGAGTGGAATGATTTACAAACTTTTCAACATTTGACACGTGTCTATATGATCAAAGTATGATGATTTATTAATAATTTAAAAGTGATGGTAAGCATACGTCTATAATTAATGTGGCGAGAAAAATAATTTATTAATGATTTGATTTTGCCTGCATGTTTCGCTTTATTCCTCTTAGACATCAAAGTTTGTATATTTTGCATGGAATATTTGTTTGCCGCGACTGCCACCCATTGAAACAAACACAGCAAAATATATATATAACATCCATGGGATATGTCATGACCTTATTCTTTTGTTTTCTTTTGTGTCCTATGTATTGTTGGATTGAAGAAATTCTCACTTTGAAATAACAATGGAATTAAGAAATGTCTGTTCACTCCAAAAGGTGTGGTCAAATACGTTTTATATGGTTAGATTGTTGGCGTGCCTAAGCTTTGCTATATAAACCCCCTTCATTTATGCATGCCATTATCTGCAAACACAACCAAAACAACAACATCAAGTGGGAAATATTGCACCCAAAAAAACTATGGGATCTGAAACTCCTTCCACTCATATATTTCTGGTGTGTTTTCCAGCACAAGGACACATAAACCCCATGCTCAGGCTAGGCAAGCGCTTGGCTGCCAAGGGCATGTTGGTAAGTTTTTCCACCACTGAAAACTATGGCAAAGAGATGAGAAAAGCCAACAATGGCATCAGTGAGGAAGCCAAACCAGTTGGCGCTGGTTTTATCAGGTTTGAGTTTTTCCAAGATGGGCTTCCAGAAGACGACCCAAAACAAGCCGACTTGGACTACTATGCGTTGTCAACAACCCCTTCATTCCTTGGGTTTGTGATGTCGCCGTTGAACTTGGGATCCCTCAGGCCACGCTCTGGATTCAGTCCTGTGCTGTGTTCTCGGCTTATTACCACTACAACAACAAGACGGTGTCGTTTCCTACGGAAGCCGAGCCAAATATAGATGTTCAGCTGCCTGGTATGCCTGTTTTGAAGCATGATGAGGTTCCTAGCTTCTTGCACCCCTCTGATCCATTTCAGGTCAGTAGAACTATTTCTCTGCATACCAAATCAAATTCCGAAATTTTGGATCACAACTATGTGAAAATTTTATATTTTGTTTGTTCATGTTTCAGTCCAATTTGAAACTTTTTTGTTTCTAAGAGCATCCATAGTGAGAAGGTGTATTTTCGGGGGTGTAAAGCTACTTAAAACAAACCCCAACTCCAAAACCTCATAAAAAAAGCCCAAAACACTCAATATGGCATCAAAGTAATTTAATAATCAAAATTAAATTCAATAGGACCAGCTGTAATTTTTTGGGTTTTTTTGGGGTTTGTTTATAGAAATTAAATGGTATAGGGTTTATTTATAGTTTTATTGCTAAGAATGGAGAAATTATAGAATGATACCGTACTACCACGTCAGCTCGTGATACTCCCATTCAAAATTTAACATGTGTACAACTTTTTAAAGAAAAATTTAAAATTCAAACAGCTGGATTTAAAATCCTTTTTTCAATTTAAATTTAATTTAACAAAAATGGAAATATCTAAAATAATAATAAATAAAAAAATTCCTCAGCAACATCAACCCCTTCTTTCAACTTGCGACAAAGCCCCCACCCCACCCCCACCTTTCTGCCATGGCTGCCGCTGGTCTTTCTTTTTTCATGTCTTTGTGTTTTTCTCTCTCCCCCTCCCTCTTCCTCCCTCTTCCTCCCTCCTCTCTATTACGGGTAGGGTTCAAGGAATTTAGATTGAAACTTTCTTGGGGGTGAGTTTATGGTCTTTGAGGAATCCAAGCTTTCAACATATATCAAGAGCAAACTCATTTGCCATGGGCTGTCATCATATTCACAGATAGAGAGACAGATAGTCATGACAGGGGGCTTCGTCGCCGTCGATGAGGCAAATGATTTTTGGGTTTTTATTTTTCTTTCTTTTTATTTGTAAGTGTTTAAAATTCTTTTATTTTTTTTTTAAAGGGTAAAATGAATACTCTAGTTGTCAAAAAGTTATACACATGTCAAATTTTGAATGGGAGTATCACCAGCTGACGTGGTGGTACGGTACTATTCTATAATTTCTCGTAAGGCTTTTATTATTGTTGGCTGCTTCAAAATTAAATTAAAAACCTTTCTGCCCGTTATCTATAATATTATCAAAATGCTATTAATTGACAAAAAACAATACACCCATTAAAGACAGAATTTGTTAAACCGAAACCAAAACTGAATCCATAGTAAATATTTCAAAATAACCCAATGAGTAGCAATAAACTGTTCCAATGACATTGAAGTAAATTTTGATAATCTTCTTTTTTTTTTACGTTGGTTAATTTGGCCAGTTGATCAGGGCAGTAAGTATGGTCAGCCTTGAGTCTGGACTCAAGAGCGACATTCTAAAGCTTTGCATGAAGAGGGCCCCAAATTTTTTATATCTATATAAAATACATATGGGTTAATTGTTCATGCCCATATTAAATGGATTTCTTAGAATTTAATAACACAATGACCCAAATAAAAATCACTTTAAATATTTAACAATACAAGGACTCACACATTTATAATTGAACATTAATAAAATATTTTTTTTATTTTGAAACAACAAATACCCAATTAATCGAACACTTTCTTCAAGAAAATGTTTAGTACTTCTAGTTTGATGACTTTCATGGTTTTATTTATTTATTTATGTTTTATGATTCATGTTCTTTTGTTATTTTAGTTTAATATAATTACCATAATTAAACCAAAAAGAAAATATATACACGTGCATCAAAAAATTTCTTTTTTGCTAAACTATGATTATAAAAAATAAAAAATAAAAAAAGGAAAAGGGCCTCATCTTAATTCATGCCCTTGGGCCACTCAAAAGTCAGAACCGGCCTTGACAGTGAGTTCGTCTCCTTGCACCCAAGTTCGAATATCTTTCTCATAAATTAGATTAATTTAGAGTAGTTTATATTATCGTTTGTATTTTTTAAAAAGGGTTAATTGTTTTATTAGCCCTTGAACTTAGACCCGATTTGCATTTGAGTACCTCAATTTCCAAAATGGTTCCCGTGGTCCTTTAACTTCACTTTCATTAGGACAAATGGTCCTACCATCAATTTTGTTAACTTTTTTTTGTTAAATGCAGGGGCAAAATGATATTTTTGTATAAAATTTGATTAAAACATGAATACAAAATTATAAAACTAAAAAATTAAAATTAAACTCTCTCTCTCCCCCTCTATCCCGATTTCTACTCCCCCCAAACTTAATTTTTCTTTTTTTTTTCGTTGGTTTTTATTTGATTTTCTTTCATTGTTATTTTAAAGATAAGATTTTTTATTCATTTTCCTCAATTTAGGGAAGCATCTATTTGTCGTATACCTATCTTAGAAAGCATCAGCTAGGCCTTTTGGTGAGTGTCAAGCCTCTTTGGTACAAAAGACTATTTATGCAGACAAGAATTTTATAGAGGATTGGTTGGTGGATATTCTGCTAAAATATGATATTTGGTTTGAATATGTTAGGTTAGGTTTTATTCTTCTCCATAAGGAGGTATATATAAGAGTTTACATGAGTGCTTTACAAAGAATTAGATACAGTAAAGGATTAGGAAAGTATCTCCTAATTATACAATGATTTGACAACTATATAAAATAGGAAAGCAAATCCCTTAATTAATCAAGGAAATAAATCTCCTTGATTAATTAGGAGACTCACTTCAACACTCCTCCTCAAGTTGGTGCATATACATCACAAATGCCCAACTTGGTAAGTGAGTCATGAAATACTCTGCCACAAACACCTTTGGTTAAGATATCTGCCAGTTGATCTTCTGATTTTACGAATGGTAGGTGGATGATGTTCTTCTCAATTTTTTCTTTGATAAAATGTCTATCCACCTCAACATGTTTGGTTCGATCATGTTGAACTGGATTATGGGCAATATCAATGGCTGACTTGTTATCACAATGTAACTCCATTGGCTTTTCTGGCTTGAAACCCAATTCTCATAGGGGAGGGGTACCATTAGCATTAGACACCACCGACGGAGTGGATGATTTGCGATTAATAAGTTAGTCAGGATCAAATGTCATGTGATTCGTAGCACCCGAGTCGATAATCCATGTGGATTTTTGAGAGGACGTATGAAAAGTAGAACCTTTGGTGGTGTTGATAGAAGCACAAGTCCGGGTAGCCGAGTTAGTAGGATTGACCGCATGCTTCTGTGAGTCTGCAATAAGGGGGAGAATCATAGGGTTTCATGACATCGTAGCGGAAGTAAAATGTGATATGAGAATGTGAGGGCTTTTGATTAGAGGAATTTGATTTGAGGAATTTGATGTGGGAATTGGATTTGAGAGGTATGTGTATAAGATTTGAGGGTATGTATTTAGGGATTTTGATAGGAGGATTTGAGGACTTTAGATTTGAGGGATTTGGATTTGGGGAAAAATATGAGGAATTTGATTTAGGGTTTTGGATTTGAATATGAGAAATTTGAGATAAGGCAAAGACAACAACAGCAATGGAAAACTACAATGACAAATTCTTCCATATGAACTTCAACTAATTCAC